TTGGCCACGGGTTTGACGGGGAGACCTTCCCATGGCAGCTCTGCCTTGTGCTCATGGACAGATGAGCGTGGCCATGGTCCAGGTGGAACCGTGAGCTTCCCCAGCCTAGAAGTTGATATTTAGTAGGACTTAAGGACGTGGCATTCAGTGGCTTTTCCCCTTATCATTAACCAGGAGTGTCTTTCTCCCAAGGGGTGCCCGGAGCCAGTCTCTGCTCTGGAGATGGTGCAGGCGGGATGGTGGCCTTGCCTTCCTGGTGACGTGTCCTGCGCAGCCGCGCGTGGCCTGGCGGCCTCGGGGCCAAGGGGCTGCTGCCCTTGGCCTGGCCCGGCCTGCGAGGTTCCTGCTGGCATCGGCCCGGAGCCCTCAGGCCGCTGCCGAGGCAGCTTGCCTCAGCGCGAGGTCTGGGATCCTGGTGCGTCTGCCCATTGCCTTGACCGCTAGGCTGGTACACAAGAGAGATGTCCCTGCCGCTTGTCCTCAAGGAAGGTAGTTCTAGTTGCTGTATTTTTCGCTGATCCCACCAGTTTTGTAGCCTTTGGATTAGGTCCAGGAAACGCTGAGATCTGCCTGGCTTCTGATAAGCAGAGATTCAGTTGCACTTTCAGAGTCAAGAAAAACTTGGCACAGAAGTTGTTTCTGAGCCTTTTCTGCCCCTCTGAAGCTCAGGGCAGAATGTGCAATTCTCACAAGTTCCTCACGTGTGAGAGTTGGCTCCCAGTGGAAAAGGAGTGGAATACCTTCTGATTTCGGGATTCATGCAAATGTATGTTAGACGGACACTGCCTTTAAGCAGTGTGAATTGTTGGATGAATCATCGCAGTAATACTTAAAAGTTCCCGATCCACCTTTGGTTTCCTCAGCCCTTGTAGGGGGTAGCTGTGCAGTTTTGCTCAGTGTCAGCAGTTTTTTGTGCTTGCCTTTATGCAAGTAAGCAGTGCCAAACATGCCTAGCAAAGGAGTTGAGCAGCCTTAAGCGCATTCCCTAAAAAACAACCCAGTGCTCCATTATGAAAAGCTAAAGCCAACGTTTCCTCCCTATCAAGCCCACGAGGAAATTCCCAGGGACTTGTTACAGGGGTAGGATATACCCTCTCCTCCCTGCCAACTCGCTCTCCGTCGCAGTCTCTGGCTGAGAGTTGCCCTGGAAGAACCATCTGCTGCCTGTAATGAAATAGTCTCTGGAAAGACAGACTGTTCTGTCATCAGACTCACTACGCTAAGGTCGCACCAGCAGAACAGCTCTGCAACTTTCAGGCTGCTTCTTAGCCTTTAAGCAAAATGCATGAATTAAATGTGTTTTGCGTCGTAACGCAGGCTCAAGACACCGGTCTGTCCCACTCTAGAGCCTGAGGACACCGCAGCCGAGGGTAAGTGCACATGTCTGTGGTTTTGGAGATCAGATTGTTTATGCTTTTAAAATTACTTGACTGCTTGCTCCTCCTGTGTGCAAGTGAAATGCATGGTCAAAAAAGATAAATAAATGAAAAAAGTAAGTTATTTTTTCTTAGTGCACTACATGTTTATAGTGATTTTACTGTTTATGTAGCAGGAAATACGTTTTGTTATTTGCTTCTTCCATTTTTAGTCATTTTTGATTAACTCAATGCATTTTGTTAACATGTTGTATTTAAAGTGCTTTTGAAATTACAACTTAGTGATATTTCCACTAAGTTTCAAGCAGAATTGCAAAAGCCATGTGAAAGTAAGCTTCCTTTTCTAAAAAAATGTGTAAATGATACTAGGCTTCCAGAAATACTTTGGCTTGTGCTTTCTAAATATGTATTATGATACCTAATAGTCAAAATTCCCTACATTGCTCAAAAAATAGGCCTTTTGGTAGCATGTAGATGATTATGAAGCTGTATGAGCAAATTACTTAGGCTGACTGTGTCAGATACTTCACAAACGTTAAAAATAGATGAGGATAGATCAGTGTTAAGAGTTGTGCTGTGATTGCTTATTTTAATTGCTCTATTTTAGTCTCTTCATTAGAAGCCCAGCCAGACACTTGCTCCCCTGCGGCTTAACCAGTGAATCGGAGCTGTTCTGATTTCTCTGTGCCTTAGTGCTCTTTGCCATAGCCAGTGCAGGAGAGAAAGAAGCTGGAAAAAGCTGTCAATGCCAGAAGCTAAGGAACCACAGTGTCTCACAGTATATTAGCCCAGGACATATTTTCCAGAAATGTCCTTTTTGAGCGGCTAAAACTTCCCTAATGTTGTTTTTTTAACTGAACCTTGTTAATACAATCCGTGTGTCCAAACTGTTTCAAATAAAGTATTTTGCTAGTTTGATTTACAGGCTTTTGATAAGTATTCTGCAGCAAATGTTTGATTTGATCACAGGGTCTTCGAGGATTTGTAGAAGAGTAATGTGCTCGTAGTTATTTGTATGGCAGCGTGGGGCATTCCAGGGAGAGATACCGAGTCAAAGTGACCTCCCCTGAGATGCAGAACAACCAGAGAACAGTCATGGTAGATCCTTGCATAGGTTCCCACTGCTGTTAACCTGTCAGATGTCAGACTGCAGCAAACAAACTGCTGTACCAATCCTTCTTATGGCTCTGGTGTGAACAGAGTCCACAGAGTTATGTGCGAGTTCTAGGGTTCCAGTTTTTGTTGGCTGGGAGATTTTAACTTGTCTCTGTTTTGTTTTGGAATAAAGAATATTTTAAGCTTGTGAAATTTGCTACAAAGTGAAAAATCTCTTATTAGTATATGCCTGAAAAAATGCCTGTATTCCCAAATGCAAAGCACTTGGCAGGCTGCAACAGGAGGTGGATGGAATTACGGCATTTATTACAGGAATGTTGTAGAAGGCTGTACGGATGCCTTGCCCTTCGTAAGACAGATAATTGCGTTTAAGTAGGAGACTTAGAGTTCACAGGTGAATGGACCCATTGTACACAGCGTCAAAGTTGGTCCTTCTGGGAGTGAAGTTATTTGCTATTGCAAGTTACTGTGAGAACTATTTTAGTTTGTTCTTCTGTTCTTCTTTCAGTTCTGATATGCATATATTAGGAATCATCATGGCCGATGAAAGTTAATTCACTCTCTGCCTGTTGGATATGGCCTGTAATGCCTATTCCTGAAGAGTACAGCCCGTTATTGACAAGAATGCAGCCAGAGGCGTGTTCCTGTGAGCACGGTGGCAATCGGTAACCGCAGTCACAAGCCTTCCCGCGGGGAGCGTTTCTCCCCAGGCTTTCCTCTGTTGAGGCCCAGACCGAAGGGCCCTTGTGTCCCTCCGTGTTCCCGAGGTTGCTGTCCCTCAAATGCGCAGTCGGAGCCTGTGGCCGGCCCCTTTCTCAGTGCACGATGGTGGTTTTTCTGTGGCAAACATGGGCTAAGGAGAGAAAGGTGCAACCAGCACTCGCTGCAGAACCTCGCCTCGACGGAGGCGGCGGGTTCTGCCTTGTGCCGCGGCTCAGACATTGCCCATTTCAGGTTTTTCTTGGGCTTGTGCTACTGGTGTCCTGGTGGTTTGGAGATTTCTGCTTTTTGTTTTGTTTTGTTCAGCCTTTGCTGAACAGAGATTGTCTCTTTTACCAAAATCTTCATACAGCCTGGAGCCATAGGATGCATCTCACCTGCCTCAGAGATCTGGCAGCTCTCTAGATTATATTATAAATATTATATATAAATGTTTTATGTATGCATGTGTAGATATATATTATAAATAATATATTCTCTGGCTCTTACTATAATTACTATAATATAGTTTTATCGTGTTTAGTATGTTTGTATGAGTCCTGTGGCGCCAGGCCGTAGGAAGAGCCTGGGAAGCAGGCGAGCGATCGCTGTCCTGTGCCATTCATGGCATTTGGGGTTGTTTATAAGGTTGCCAAGAGGCTTCCTAGGGTATTAGTTGCTGAACCTTCAAATGGGAGCACTTCCCTGGGACTGCCCGTCAGCAACGCAGCTTCATCAAACCCTGTTTTAAAACACTCTTCCGTCACATCTGCTAGATTTAAATTGGTCTTTGTAATTTTAGGGAAATACTGACATCCAACAGGTCTATAAAGGCTAATCTGCTCAAGGCCCCTTGTTTTGGATTTTAGTCCAGAATCTATAATGTGACACTTCACCATGGAACACTTCTACCTGTGGTCAGTTTGGCGTGTGTTTATCACTCGTGCTTCTGTTTCTGTAAAGTGTGTGTGTGTCTGAAGAGATTCTCCAAAGCCAGGAGAATTCTGCCCACGCTGGAGTTGCAGATCTGCTCTAGCGTCCGGGCCTAGCACCAAGTTATCAGGAGCGAGACTTCGGCTCGAACTGGTGCAGTGGGATCACCTGCCGCCTCTTTCCTTTTGATTATAAACTACGATTTATGGTGGCAGTTTGCATCTACCCTCACTGTTATCAGAAAAATAACTGTAATTCTTTCATTAAGTGAATATGCAGAAAAGGCAGTGAACACTTGGACTATGTCATTTGATTACTGTCAAGAAGAAACCTGCCTTACCCATTTTGCAAAATTAACTTTTAGCTCCGAGACAGAGTATGTATGCAGTAATATATTTCGATCTGATGTAGTTATAAGTGTAGTCATCCAAATAAATTATGATTATGCTTGGAATATCCAGATAAATGTAATTATCTGAATAATGCTTCTTCCTAGGTAATATGAAATAAATAAATCACTGAGACATGCAGCATTCTATTAGTGAGTAAATGTCCATCGATAATGAAAGAATAATTGAGTGAAAGTAGTATTGACTTCAGGTTGGACTCTGCAGTGGTTTTATGTGCGGCTTAAAATAGTCTTTAATATAAAATAAAAGTACTTTCCCCATGATGTTTCATAATCGTTCATGTATTATTTAATATTTCATATAAGTTTGCTTCATAAAGTTTCAGTAGAAATAATATGACATGGATTTTTCTGCAAAATTTCATTTTGCAGCTCAATAATTTTTTGCCTATTTTGTCTTGCTAGACAAAGAGCTTTCATACAGTTTTAGATGACAGACTGATAATTATCAAACAGTTTCATTCTGGTACTCAGGCATCAACTTTCTGTGCAACTGGGGACAAATCACACATGCCTTAATTCCTTGTTCGTAGCACTGGAAAAATAAGCGTCTTCTCTACTCCTCCTTTCAGTTGTATATTGTTCTCCAACCACACGTTTGTAGGAGAGAGCTCTAATAGAGTACAGCTCTAATAGAGTAATGCCTGGACCTTGCAAAAAATATATGTACAGAAAATAGTAGGCAGGTAAATTTGAGTAGATCCTTTATATAAATGTTGTTTTCTAAAATAAACAGTTATGAGACTTAGCAATAAACAAATAACAGCTGTTGATAAATAAACAGTTTGCAAGAGATAATGAACAGAACAGTTGGTCTTTC